GTATGCCTATTTAAACATATTTACACATGGCTTGTGTATATCGTATATATACATATATATTATTCATACCTTCGGTGTATAGGACCCAAGCAGATTTTGACATCAAATTTTGGGGTAAAAAAGTGCGTCTTATACACCAAAAAATAAGGTAGGTATTTATTTGATTAATGTTTAACATAATTACTATTTCCATAGAAAGATAAAATGAAAATAAAATGTATAAGAGTATCAAGTCTGTTTGTTTTTTCCTGGAAATTACTGTAAATTTTCTTTTGCTTCCTTTAGAAAATTTTTCTTCATCCTGAGTTAACTAGACTGTTTTGAATTATCAAACATTTTTGACACTGTATGTTTCTTATATATTATTTTAACATTATACATAAGTGCCAAGAAAATGATATCTATCCCACATTTTTGTATGTATATGTATAGGACCTGTAAAAAAGTATCTTTGCATCAAATCACATATAAATTGGATGAAATACGGTGGAGTAATTGTTGAAAAATCCTAAAACTATACTTTTTTGTGACATTTTTGCCCTCAATAATTACTAAAAATGAGCAAGTCCATCACTTTTATTTGTCCGTGTGTGGGGCCTTTAAAAAAGTATCTTTGCACCAAATCCCATGCAAATTTATCAAAATATGGCTAAGTAATTGACCAAAAAACAAAGATTATGCTATTTTGTGAGCTTTGATCCCCCTAAAAAAAAACTCAAAATGCGCAAATCCAACTTTTTTGTATACCAGTGTGTTTGGTGCACAAAAATATATATTTGTGCCAATTTTTATCTTGATTGCTGAAAGTATGACCACACAGAAGCCCAAAATATATATTTTTGGGTTGTTTAACCTTTGACCCCATAAAATTCTTATAAAGGCATGAATCAAAAGAATGAAAAGGGTATCTGGGCATATTTGACCAAGATATAGCCCTACCAAGTTTCAAGTCAATCTGACAAGAAATGAAGGAATGATGGTTGACTGAAAAGTGTTTAGAAGAAGAGAGAACAGAAAAACAGTATGTCTCTCTGCAGAGACATAAAACGTTTTTG